GATCGCTGGTTCTTTCACAATATCTCACACGGCGCCCGGAGAATCGGCAGATAGCCAGTCACACGGACTCTCCGAGGGCATCGAAGGGCCAGAGGAGAAGCAGGCAGAGGAGAGCAAACACCAGGACAAACACGAGGAACAAAATCAACAACAGCGAGATCGGGAGATGGAGTCAGTTGATTAACGCAGAAAACCGCTGTGACAGAAAACCGCCTGCGTGTGAGAATACAGAAAAATATCAATAAAAAAAGCCAAAAACAACGTGAGCTTTGTCGTTATTGTCCGTTCCTAATACCATGGGTAAAGGTTGAAGTTGCCATTAGATTTTACCACAAGAGAATTACATGAAGTTTTAAGCATTGTTGAGAATAGAGTGAGTCTTTGTTTTTGGCCAACATTTAGGAATTTACATCAAGAAGAGTGACATTAAAACTCCGAGAACTCTAAAAGGGAGAGATGCCCAAAACGCACCGAATGAGAAATGCCCGGCTTTCTGGTCTGTAGACGTCTCTCATGTTTGGAACAGAAGCAGCTGTCTACATCTGGCTAAAAAGGGCTAAAGAGACTGTACCTCTGCACAACCAAACAATACCACCACAGCGTGAACTCTCATTGGGTGTTAAGTGGACAGTACTGCAGGGGAGACCCTTATGGTGCTTTCACATCAAAAGCGTTTGGAGCGTCCGGCGCGTCTGGTTTGCATTCAAAGTCTGTGTGGAGGTGCAATCTTTTTGAGCGTCTGAAGCGTCAGGAGCGTCCAATGGAAAACATTGTAAAAAGTACAGCACTGGTTTCTTGTGCCAAGACGCTCAAATGTTCTGTTGAAAGCAGCAGAGCTCGGCTGGACCTCGCCGAGAAGGAGAGCAGGGAAGGTAGGCGGGCGGGCAGCGTTTTGTGAGGCCAGACAACATAAAAATAGACGGCGGACACAGTGTTCTGCAGTCGGCTGCCAATTTATGGGGGCAGTTTGATTGGTGGACGCAGGAGGCCTGTCAGTCAGTACACATCAGAGTCTAAATGCTTGTATTTTGTGTCAAACTGGTTTTTGAAAGGAATATACACACAGAGCTAAATCAGTCATTTCTGATGTAAAATTTGTAGCAGGGTTTTTTTTTAATATACATATTTCAAAAGCTCTTTATTTCTATATTTTTCTTTACTGCAAATTGTCCTGTAGACAAAAATGCAGATTCACTGGTACATTTTTGTATTTTTATATGAAACAATGTAAAACGCCGAACTATTTTTCTTAACTTTTGATTTCCGTAACATATTTCAAAACATTGACACAAACTATTGCACCTTATGAATTCTTTGTTCGCCAATTTTTCTGACTTACGGAACAATTAACAGCTATTTCAAAATAGTCACAGCACACATTACCACCAAGTGTTTATTTAACAAATCTAAAGTGAAGATAAAGACACATTTGAGAAATGTAGTGTGGATTCTCACAGCTGGATTAAAAATATATACAAAGTAGTTTACAATGGTGTCAAAAGAGATTGCTAATAGCTTTTTGTGTATGTTTTTGGAAAGTTACATCACAAGAGGCATTAGAAAGAAAACGTGTTAAAAAGAGGAAATTTTCTTCACAATAAAATCCCATGAAAGTAAAGAGGGAAAAGAGACCAGCTCAACATATAATTACCCAGTAATACATGTATTTAGTTAATTTAGCTAATTTAGCTTTAGCTCATTTAACTCATTTAGCTTTTGCTCAATTAGATAAAGCTAATTGAAACCTTTACACTCTTATTTTGATGCTAATAAAAATTGTTTCCAGCTGCACTGCTTTGCGGGAAGCAGTGGGGGAAATTTTGACAGCTTAGGGCGAGTTATTAAAATATGTTTTGAGGGCGGGAGCCCCCGTAACATCAAGGCTGCTGTCAGAAAGCTTAAGTTTTATTAGCTTTTATTGAGTGCAGCTAACGTGGCCCAGGTGCAGACAGGCAATGAGTTATGGCTACTTACAGCGAAGTGTGAAAACGCTGGACTGAAACCTTCAGTCTAGCGTAAAACATCTAGACTAAAACATCATTACGGCCATTTTTATCGGAATTGCCACTTATCGGCGCCCCGACAGGATAAAATGGGCCTTGGAACGGATAGGTGTGCTGTCCATTTTCGCAGCAAGTGACACTTGCAAAAAAAATTTTTTGGCAGAGGTAAAAAAAGACATGGCTGGTGCGACTCTGTCAGTGCTTCGGTTTGCATGTTTCCAAGACCTGACCTCATTAAGGAACTGGATCAGCTTCTCATGGTCACTTTAGTAATAAATTGTTGCTTCCTTTCACCTACTGCTGTACCTTGAAAAATCTATGTATATTCACACCCTTAGTAATGTTTCAGTTTTATTTTTTACTTCCACTGCAAAAAACACAAAATCCTAAGCTTCCAATGCAAACACTTCAAATAAACACTTGAAATAATATTAGACTTACAAGTAACTTTCCAGCAAGATATATGAGCTTGTTTTATGTCAATAAAGCCTGAAAACGATGGAAAAAGTACTAGTTGAAAGTGAAATAATCAGTGGAACTTGCATTTTTTTCAGCAATATTAATAAATTATTTACCTAAAACATGCTCAAATATCTTTAAATAAGTTACCTGTAAGTTTGTTTTGTTTTATTTCAAGTGTACTAAGATGTTTGCACCTGAAAGTGGATCAGATTTTGTAAGATTTTGCGTTTTTGCAGGGTGAAGCCATGAATGTCACCGTCTCCGCCGACTTCATTTTTGTTTTGTTTTTTAACTCTTGATTCTTCTAGGTAAAACAGATCAAGTTCAGCCAGGCTTGATCAAGAGTCATTGGCTTTCCATCTGGACTTTGACTAGGCCATTCTAATAATGCTTTGATCATGACTGTCAGGTTAATTGGTCTCTCTAAATTCTCCCTAGGTGTGTGTGTGTGTGTGTGTGTGTGCCTGGTTGTTTGTCCTGTCTGTCTCTGTGTTGCCTGCGGCAGACTGGCGACCTGTGCAGGGTGAACCTCGCCTCTCGCCTGGAACGTTAGCTGCAGATAGACACCAGCCCCTCCCGACCCCACTAGGGACAAGGGTGTAAGAAAATATATGGATGGATTATAATGAGGAGGAATCAAGACAAATATGTTCATAATTGCCTTGTGTTCTAAAATCAAATATTTGTTTGTTTTGCCAAGTTTTACGCGACAACCCCAACGGCAGTGCGAAGTAAATTAGAGAACAAACCGCATCAGGATTTGATTATCAAAAGGCTTCAACTTCTTGTGGAGTTCCCTTCAATTAATTATCTAGAAATGGGAACTGCAGAGCTCAAGTGAGAGAAGCCAAAAAAACTAGAGGACAGCTATTACTTGTGCAATGTGGCTGTTTTCCTTTTTTTTTTAAATCTTTTTTTTTTGGCATTGTTGATAATGAGACAGAGGTTCACCTTCCGGTTGAACCGGGAACATCCGGCCAGAGATTAGCACGTTCATTTGGCAGGACATCTAAAATAATGTTCAGCTGTGAAAACAAAAACATCCCAGCAAAGCTGTTGGAAGCATACCCCAAAAAGATGTGCAATCTTTACATAAGGGTGGATAAGTTGTGTGGTTTGTCAAAACACATTTTGTCCCTTGACCTCCGTTCTTTTAGCAGAGTGTGATGTCACTGAGGAGGTAGATAACCCCAGCAACCATCTAAACTCAATCCTTGCAGCTCTGCATCCGTAAACTTCTCATACAGTGTCAGCTGGTAAAAGTCCAACCAGGACCCAACAGAAAAAAATTCAATTTAACCACTTTTTTTTTTTTTTAATGCAACCTTGTTTCCTTCACTGTAACCTGCAGCCAGAGGTGAAGGTCTGGGCAAGAGGAGAGTTTTACATTTTGGCTCAGCTCTGGCATCCCTGACTAATGTACAGTTCAGGGACAAATCTCCCTCAGGACGTTTAGGGTCAAAGCTTGAGAGACACTGGAGAAGAGACCCCAAGTTAATTGAATTCCTCCTCCCAAATGAATACAAAGCAGAAGAGACGCTTTGGCCTTGAAACCCAAACCTCCGTCTGTTTTCTATACCTGCCTGTCCTTTGTAGGGTCCTGTCTCCGGCGGTCGCCTGTCGTTTGCGGGGCAACACACAGCTGCGCATTGAGACACTCGGAGCAAATTAACGTAACGGTCATGTTTTATGACTGTGGGAGGAAGCCGGAGTACCCAGAGAGAACCCACATGTTCACTGGGACATTACAAGGTTTAAGGTGAATGCACCTGTTGGTGTCATGAAGCTGTTGCTTCACTTATTCTACTGTGACAGACTCCTGTTGATGTTGCTGTTTTACTTTAACTAGACGTGAGCTGTAGCAATCTGGATCACCCGATTGATTCGATTTTTTTAGGCAGACGTCGTTGCAGGAATCAATGTGACTAAAGATAAACGCACGGATGAGTTTCTCTAGGTCCATCGCTCTCTGTCTGGGTCACCATCCAGACAACAATACCTTGGATTGTTCAGTGTTGCCCAGCTTAACGGGGGGCTGCCATTGTCGTGGATTTTGTTCTATTGAACGTTTACCCAGAGGACTTTGAAGCAGCCAACAAAAGCTGGCCCATATACACGCTGGCGAATGAATGGGAAGGCATCATATGAGCCGCGAAGAAATCCACCAGCATGCATGGGAAGTGGGATTCATCAGTGTTCATCACGGAGACAAGATGAATGAAGGCGACAGCAGTGGAAATGGCTCGGATACCTGTTATCAAAACTGACGCATTGGACTTGCTGTAAAGTTGAGTTTCATTGGGAAAATGAAGTAAAAAATAAAAAAGGTTGCATTTGGTGCGAGCAATTAAGGTTCCATTGTCTTGTCATGTTGATAATTAGTTTTCCTTTTTTTTTGTGGTTGTTGTTGCCTCATTCGGTGTAGCTTCACTGACCTGTTAAATGAGGGCAGAGGGATGCGGGGGGGGCAAATTAGACGATTATTTTTAACAGCTTCCCCACAGAGGACAGCTCATAACGACGTGGGAGCACGCCGCAGCCGCAGCGCCGCTCCCGGCACAACGTTTCGGTCTGTTTTTCCTCCATCTTGCTGTCTGAGTGAAACTTTGCGCGCCGGTTTGGACAAAGCGGGTCTTTTCAGGCGGGAAGATGCCGGGGACGAAGGAACGGGAGAAACTGGCCGAGGTCATCGGTCAGTGGAACAGCGACAGACTGGACTTGTTTGAGATCAGCCAACCTGACGAGGTGAGATGAGTCAGGATGTCACAAAAAATACCTTCAAACAACAAAACCACCGTTTTATCTTGAGCTGTTAAACTCGTGCTACTATATTGATCGCAGGATTATTCAAGTAATTATGCTATTGTTATTTGAAAAAAACTTAAAATAGAACATCTTGATCCCAGTTTTCATTCAATTGAAACGAGACGAATCAGTGCATAAGGTGTATTTCTTTAATTTTCTCTCTGTAGGACAATAAATTATATTTTATTCCATATTTTATTGTGTAATTGCAAAAAATTACATGACTAGATTAGATTAGATTAAATTCGATGATAAATATTTTTTGCCAAAAAATAAACGAATCAAGTGGATTTCAGAGGGCCTTCGTTTAGACAGGTTAAAAAACGGATTCTGACAGACTGGACGTGTTTTGCATCTTCAAGTTAAATCCTATTCTACTGACATATCTTAAATATTTCTGATTCGATGATAAATATTCTGTTTTTCCATATATTTAATTCCTCCTGTACTTCCAGTCGCATCCTGCCAAAGAGTTGCGTCTCTCTCACATTTTTCCAATCTAACTTGAGAAATTTGTTAAGATCTTCTCAGATATGTAATCATTAACTGTATGAATGCATCAGTGATATATGATTGTATTGCTGCTTTTCTCCAAACCCCCCCACACCCCGGAAACAAACTCAGAGGCCTTCAAGTAAAAGCCGGATCAGATCCTGAGACGAAATGAAACAGATTTGGCCTTGATCGCTTCAATGGATGTTTTAAAAGCGACCTTTCGGGGGCTTTTCAGTGACCCTCTGTGTTCTGACAGAACTTGGCATTTCATGGCGTGATCCGCTTCTCCTTCGAGGATCACCGAGAAGAAGGCAGCGTGGCCACAAAGTGCCTGCGGGTTTGCAGCAGCCTGACGACTCGCGAGGTCATCGAGACGCTGTCAGAGAAGTTCAGGCCGGATATGAAAATGCTGTCGACAAAATATTCTCTCTACGAGACCCACGCAGATCAAGGTGAGAACGCCATTCTGGTGGTAACTTGCTCCTGGATAACCGAAGCTGCTGACTCTGCTGTTCCTACGTGGACATGCATGTTTTAAGTCCCCACAGCAATAACCAATAAACTCCTGAATTGAGCCGGTTGCTTTGCTAATGGATTAATAATTCATTTATCTTCCAGCCTCTAAGATAGTTGCTTGTGGTGAAGTTATGACAGATGTGTACACACCTGCAATCTCTTCATTCGTCTGCTTTGAGATGAATGAATGTCTGATTATGTCTGATCTCACGCTACACTGTGCAGACGCTCTGTCTGCACAGATTAGATTCAACAAAACAACATGCTGCTCCAAAAGTAGTTCTGAGTGCTACACACAACGAACTGGTGATCTTATTTATTATTCATCACCTCTTTAATATATATGACCAGTTTGGTGATGTCATCATGTAACAACTTTTGTTTTTGTTGTCTGTTTGTGTCATGAGGTGCTAATGCTGAGATGTTCTACTTTAGTTCTTTGCTTGGTCTCTTATCTTTTGTTCTGTATTGTTCTCTGGTGTTTAGGAGTGAGAGAATGAACAACCAGGCTGCACTGTGAAAACCAGACTCCTTTTATAAATACCATCTTATTATAATTGGAATTCATGTAGCAAAGGCAAGAGTCAAAGCTGTCCTTTCCCCATTTTTATTTATTTTTTCTTCTCGTGCATAAGAGCGTAAGTTGGACCTGGACGAGAGACCTCTGGTCGTACAACTGAGCTGGACCTCGGACAACCGAGACGGGCAATTTGTGCTCAAAAAGGACCAGGAGAAGCCGGATGTAAGCCTTCAAAAATAATAAAAGCTTCAATTAAATATTAGGAAAACATTCACCGATAAAAGATTTGCTGCTAAACCTTTGACCTGCTTATCCAGATTTGATCCAATGTTAATTTCTACTTTTATTATAATTAGCTTTGAGAAGCGCTACCCTGGATCCGACTTCCAGGGACAAGAGCTGGAAATCATCTGTTTCATCCCTTGTCCACCTCATTAAGAAACTGTTTAAACTTCTGCTCATTTGCACATATAGCCATCATACATACGCTACCAAACCTCTCCACTCATGTGTTTATTCATAAAGGAAAGTTATCATGTGAAAGAAAAGGGAGGCCTTCTTCAAACCTTCAAGAGGACGCTGTCAAGAAAAGGGAAAAAGAAAGAGGAAAGCCGAGCCAGCGGAGCTGAGAGGCCGTCAGAAGGCGAGGATGGGTAAGTGCTCACTTTTTGTCTGTTCAGACGATCAGAATAACATATTCTGGTTTGAAATCGACGCCCAGACCAGCTGAAGATCTGCTGAACAACAGCGACCGCTCGTCCAGCCTTGACCCTCTGAGACGTTGCAAGAAGAAGAAAAGAAATCAGGTTCCTGAAGGTGACGTGAGCGGAAGATACGTCCCCATTTGTTTCACGAGGGAAGTTTACTCATTTCACCTTTAATCCACTCAGACTCTTCAGATCAGTCTGGATTACCGGTTAGAGTAAAGATCTGTGACGACGGTGAGTCTGAGTCACGACCTCTGAAAGCGTTGCTGCTGCTGCTGCTGCTGCTGCTGCGTGTTTGTGATGTTGTCCTCCTGCCCCCTGCCGGCGCCTCGTACATTTCAGCCGAGGAGCCCTTCCTGTCCGCAGTCATAAATTACACCAGCAGCTCCACGGTTCACTTCAAGCTGTCCCCCGCTTACATCCTCTACGCTGCGGGTCGCTTCGCCCTGCGGCGTCGGCGCAGCGGAGGCTCTCCGTCTTCTGCAAGCACGCACCCCGTAACGTCAGTCACAAACAAAATGGCGGCCGTGATGGGAAAGGTCATCCAGGCGAGTTCATGAAAGCCTTTGCACGTTTGTGGTTTGTCAGCCTCTTCCTGTTTGGTTGGTTTGATCTGTTTCCAATCTAAAACGGCGGAGAAGCGTAAAGCATTTTACCCAGAATTCACTTGTAGAATTTAAATACATTGGCTTGTTGCCACGTCATCAACTTAAATTTCGCCAAGTTCCTACAAAAAATGGCCTAAGCTTTTTTATTTTTTATTGTTGTTGTTGCCAAAAGTAAATTGGGCAAATAAATGAATAAATAATAATCACCACTATCCATGACAATTTGATAAACACATACAGACAATTTCAAAGACAATAGAGAGTAATAGTAATTGTTTCAAACTAATTAAAAACCGTTTCAGATATGCATTACATACCATTATACATTTGTATAGAAATTGAATACTAGATGCAGCATTAATCATGACTGTAAAATACAGTTTTGTTAACAATCTTCGGACAGAAAGCCTTCTTACCTCTAGAATCTGATTTTAAGACATTTTAAAACATTTACTCCATGGCTTAAGAACAATTCAATTAGATATTGTAATGTTTCGATTCAGTTGACTAACTTTTCATCTCAATCAACCAACGTTTGAAGGGCTTTCTCTTTGTCTATGGTAACAAGCATTTTACATTGACTTGATCTAAGTGATCTAAGTTTCTAGCGTCTGACCCTGTCAAGTAAACAATCAAAATAAAAAATAAAAACAATTCGAAAGTAGCAAAATCTCACAGTTGAACATCTGCAAGTTTCCTGAAACCAACCGGCTGCTGTGATTGGGCTTCGCAGAGGCAGCGGGGCGTCGCCGGGGCTCTCGCCTTCTGGTTGGCCAATTCCTCGGAGCTGCTGAACTTTCTGAAGAACGACAAAGACCTCGGCCCGCTCACCGAGCAAAGCCAGCTGGATCTGTCCCGTCAGGTGCACAGCGCCTACAGGTACGGACACTGACCTCTGACGCCACAGGCTTGTCGTTCTGCGAACAATATACACCAACAGGAAGCATTTATTGTTGCAAAAGAAAATTTTTCTGAAGCGATTTCACACTTTGAGCAGCTGTATAGTAATGTGTGCATTTACTGATGATCACAACGCGGCTTCGTCAACGTAACAAAAGAGGCCGGTGTTGTGTTTTCTGAAAGAATGGCCACAGAGTGAGCATCTGTGGGGGGACAAGGAAGGGGCCTAAAACTAGACCATGAGGAACGCCATGATGAAGCTGCATGTTGACTCATCAGAGGCCATTTTAAGATTTTTTTCTTGCTTCACCAGAGTGTAACTCCTTAAACAGATCACATTTTAACAACAATAACATTAACAGAGCCTTGTATTAAATACCAACATGTGTCTTTTGTTTGTAGCTTTCTGCTCCATTGCCTACAGAGCGAGTTGAGGAAACACCTACCATCTTTCCTCAGTGATCCTGAGCGACACGGCGTTCTCCCGGCCGGCATAGGCACGTTTTAAAAAACATTAATCGATCAAACTAGACAAGTCAACAGATTAAGACCTTACGACGTTGTGACGTGTCTCGGTCTGACCGCAGAGATGGTGTTGGACACCTTGATGAACGGCATGTCTCTTCTGCGCCGGTGCCGCGTCAACCCGGCCCTCACCATCCAGCTCTTCTCGCAGCTCTTCCACTTCATCAGCGCCTGGCTGTTTAATCAGCTCATGGCGCCAGAACCCGGCGCGCCGGGCCTGCGCTCTCACTACTGGGGGGCCGCACTGCGTCAGAGGCTGACCCCCATCGAGGCCTGGGCGGAGAGGCAGGGCCTGGAGCTGGCTGCAGACTGCCATCTGGGACACATAACGCAGGTCAATATGTCAATTTATTATTATTATTTATTTTATTTTTTTTAACCATGGCTGATTCTGTCCTTGGATGCTAAAATAGTATTGCCTGGCTTGTTACTAGGCGACCACGCTCCTGACAATGAATAAGTACTCGGCGTCGGACGCTGAGGACATCCAGACTTCCTGTTTCAAGCTGAACTCGCTGCAGCTGCGCATGTTGATGGACGGGTACATGTACGGACCCGGCGAGCCTCAGATCCCCCCGGTGAGTAGTCCTCCACTTCACTGACCCACACCACCCACAGATGTCACCGTCAAAAAGGACAAGGTTTGTGTTTTTCTGTTTTGTCAGACTGAAAAGAAAAACGTAAAAGGTTTCGAGGGAGGGTTTTTGAAACTGGCCAAAGGTTCTGGCTGTGCTCATTGATTTAATAGCATGAATAATTAATAGTTGCAATGACCGATGTAATGATGCATAATTCATGAAGGACATCAGTGCTTTGGCTTCGAGTGGACAACTTGTGCGGTTTCCTGCTGAAAGTATTCACACCCCCTGAATTTCCCCCACATTGTGTAAAATTACAGCCTCCTATTTTCTTTTTTTAGGATTAAAGTGTCAGACTAACACAAACATGTGCAAAGCAGCTGAAAAAATATGACTTTAAGCGCTTTTTTCTTTTCCTTTTTGCTAATAAAATCTGAAAAGTGTGGGGTGCATTTACTCTGACAGTTCACAATAAAGGCCAGTGAAACTAAATGTCTTCAGAAGGATAATAGACACACTTTTGTGTAATTTTATCCCAAAATAAATGTTTTGCTAAAGCCTCAGAAAATTTTACGCTGCAGACCTTCCTCATTGAGAAGCACGGTGGTGGCAGTATTATGCTGTGGGAGCGTGTTTCATCACCAGGGGCAGGGAGGCTGGGCAAAACTGATAGAGAAGTAGATGAAACTGAAACATATCCGTATGTATATTGGCCTAGTCAAAGTCCAGACCTAAACTCATTTGCGAATACTTCTCATCCAGTTTGACTGAGCCTGAGTATTTTGCGAAGAGGATTGGGCAAGAAATTCATGATCCAGACGTGCAAAACTGTAAAGAAACATTCTTGGCAAAAATGTCTAAAACCTGGTTTAAATATACATGCACACCACACTTTTCAGATTTTATTTTCATACTGCTTTGATTTTGATTGTCCTTCTGTTTCATAATGATGCGTCAGACTGGTGTGACATGGCAGAGCCGCTACTCACATCTGTTCTGATGTCACATCTCCATATACGGATGTCAAAGGTCACGGTCATCCTCAGTCTCTCGCTCAGAATCAGCACAGGTGGTTTGGACGTGGCATTCGCGTCGACTCTTTCTTGACGTGTCCTCCCGATGCAGGACTTGACGGATGCCGTGGCGGCGGCCGCCGAGGCCTCGGCCGGTCATCTGATTGGCAGCGAAGGCGGCGAGCTTCGGCTCACGGAGAGCCTCGACCTGCTGCTGCCTTTCCTGCTGCCGCAGGGAGGATACTCCTGTGAGACGCTGAGAGGAGTCCCTCAGGGTTTCAGAGAGTTTCTGGAGCCACTCTGTCAGACAGGTGGGAGAGACCTTGGATTCAGACGCCGGAGTTGGAGCGTACTTCACGCTGAACATATCAGTTGCGTCATTCTCCGTCTTGCAGGTCTCTGCAGTTTGACGTTTGAGGCTCATTCCCAAGGAGACTGGACGGCGCATTTTACCGAAAACACACACACCGATGGGGATTTATACTTGGTAAAGAGAACAGAGACACCAGATATTTTATGTTTTAATAGGGATGTAACCAGGGGTAAAAGGAGGCGGGTATGGTCAGCTTTGCAAAAACTTTTTTTATCAGCACAGAAACTGGTGACATAAATGCTATATATAATTGCTAAATTACTAAAATTGTCATAGTACCCCCAAGAATTTAAAACTACTTTCACCCCTGGCTGTAACTAATGGTTATTTTAGTAATCGATTAATCTACCTTTTAAACTCACGATCAGTTGATTAATTGTGTTTTATCTGCGTTTTATGAATACTGTACAGCACTTTGGTGCTGTTAATATCTGTTTTTAAAGTGCTTTACAAATAAAACTGACATTGACATAATTGGATTTCAAAAAATTGGCACATTCTGTAGGCGCTTAAGCATTGCCTGTAGAATATTAGAAATAAACAAATTATTCAAGTCATGTTTTGAGTAAGAAAGTAAAGAGTTTATTGCCTAAAATGCAATAAACATAGCAGTCCTTGACTATAGGCTTGATCGTTCACAGCAAAGGATATTACAAATGCAGAGTAGTAATAATCTGTCAATTATTATTAGTATTATTTTTATTGAAATGATTATCAGCTACCAAAATAACTTAAAAGGAGTATTTTTTACCTGGTCAATCTAAAACTAAGCCACTTGCAAATTTTTTTCTACAGATTTAACTGAATTACTGCTTTCACTGTGTTGTTCTCTCAGCAAATTTTTGAGTCTCTACTCTCCAGTTAAAGGTTAATCGATTACTATATTAGTCGACAATCATTTCAACAATCGATTAATCGCGACTAATCCAACCAATCACTCCAGCCCCAATTTTTAAACACAGACTTATGCTTCTTTTGCGTATCTTTCTCCGTAAAGGCAGCGCACAGGCAGCCCGAGGTCGAGAGCGTCACTTTGCACAAACCTCTGAATAGCGGGATGGGAGTCAGTATTGTAGCAGCCAAGGTGAAAACAGTTTAGCGACAAAAACCTTTTACGATGGAGCGACTCAGTGAGTGAACACCCTGTGACGTTGTTCCACAGGGGGCAGGCCGGAGCGACCTTGGGATCTACGTCAAATCCGTGGTCAAGGGAGGACCCGCCGAAATGGTCAGACTGTGACACTTTTCACATTCGGCTTTCTTTTTAACAAGTCAATAAATGAAGACGTGTCTTTGCTGTGTTCAGAGCGGTAAGCTGGCAGCCGGAGATCAGCTGCTCAGTGTGGACGGTCACAGCCTGGTCGGACTCAGCCAAGACAGGTAGATGATAGCAAGGAGGATGCAAGGGTTGATTCATGATTTACACCAGTGGTTCACAAAGATTTTCTGGGCTATGGATTACAATAAAATCCCCCCTCACACAAAAAAATCAACTGAATTCTTTTATTCTTTTACTCATTTAGCGCGGCGGCCATCATGATGGGCACCGGCCCCGTCGTCAGCTTACAGGTGGAGAAGTTTGCGGCGAGTCGCCGAGGTCTCAGCAACCTGCTGAACGAATCGTCTCCGGAAAACGAAACAAGCAGCCGCCGTTTAAGACTGGGTAAGGATTCCTCAGCTCCACGCTTTCTTTCTTCATTTTTTGTTTTTGTTTTTTACATTTCAGGACCTGATTTGAACCTTTTGTTGTCTCAAAAGATGCCGTTTCCACACTGCACTGCGACACGGATCTCAGCCCTTCAGAGAGAAACCACGGAGGCCGCAAACGTAACAAAGACCAGAGGATGCAGAAATACCGACAGTTTTACCGCTCCAACCCCAACGTGACCCGTGGGTGACCTTTTTGTTTATGACTTTTTAGCTGCTGGGCCTTTTTTCAGCTCCGCATTTGTTTGCTCTCTCTTTGCTCCAGCTGCCTCTTGCCCGGAGGACGGAGGTGACCTCTTTGACCCCGGCGTGAGAGGACACGGCTTTTCATCCGTTTCCAGCGACAACCTCTGCGCTGATGTGAGAATTTTAGACGTTGAATTGTCTAGTTTGCTCCCCTTTACAGTCTCACAGTTGTTTGCTACTTTCTTCCAGACGCATCCCAGAGAATACCTGACGCTGCCAAACCCCAGGTCCAAGAACGCTTCTGTTTCTGAGCCCAAGCGGCCGACACAACCGTTCAATATGGCCATGACACCTTCAAGTGAGCAGAGCGACAGCAGGAGAGGCTTCATGGTATGTTGACACAACTCTTTGACAAGAACACTTCCGAGCTCTTGTTTTTCACATTCTGAAGGACATAACAAACCTGAATGTGTCTGATCGGGATTTTATGCCAAGAAACGTCCAGAAAACGGCAAAACAACCAAATCAAGGCTAAAAACCAGGGGGAGGATAAATATTTTTGAGTGAACAGCATTATTATATTATATCGCACTATGAGCCCACTCAGCCACCGTAGAAGGCCGTCTCAGCCAGTGTGTGTATTGAGAAGAAGCCAGGCAGCTAAGCTACATGCTCATACCTAATTAATTAACTAATTAGAGTTACTTTATATACACAAACCCGTTTTTGTTGAAACATAAACCGATGGAATTGGATATAGTAGGAAAACTTACGGTGTTATGTGAAACACATGTTCTATTTGTTCTGTTTTTCTCTCATCAGTCGCATCATTTGAACAGAATCTGTGAACCGTTTGAATAGAAAAACTAGGTCCTGAATTAAAAAATAGTTTCTGAATCGATTCATTGATATGGGCATCGAGTTGCGTCTTCGCTACAAACCAATGCGTTGGATTCATAACAGCTGGAACATGGGTCAACATGTTTCGTGTGCTCGATGATTTTGATGATGGCTTTTGACAAAGTCGCAGTTTAAAGCGCTATTACCAGGTGACGCACTTTAAACTGCCCTGTGGCTGAACTGCACAAATAAATCTGCGTTCAGGTGTGTGAATCTCTGTTGAAGTCTCTCTGTCCTCCCATGCAGCGTCACGCCGTGTCTCAGGAGAGTTTGTGCGCAGACGCCGGAGGCCCCCTGCTGGACCAGAAGCAGGACGCGCGCGCGCAGAGGAGCCAGTCCACAAATTTCTGCCGATCCGTTTCTGCGCTCTACATCCACAGAGAGCCGCCCCCGGCCGGCGTCTGGAGGAACCCGTTTTCGCAGCAGGCCACGCCTACGCCGTCGGTCCGGCCGATACGCATCGACATCCCCGTCACCAGAGCGGGCGGCGCGCAGACAAATCCTCCTCTCATCACCTTCCAGCAGAGCCCCTCTGTGCTGAAACGGCCCCGGGAAGCCAGCGAGCAAATAAAGAGCTCCCCAAGCCCAGGGTGTCCATCATCAGCGGCCACGGCGCCGCTCCAGCCCTCGGGTCTCTGGCAGCAGCAGAGGTCAGAAAAACCCCGAGTGTGCATCACTCCGACGAAGCACGTTTCCTTCCAGGAGCCTCCGTCCGAGCGGAAGGGCTCGGGGCCGGGGGGCCAGAGCGACCCCCGGGTTCTGCTGCGTGACCCCTGGAGGAGGGAGGCCCAGGAGGCGCTGGAGAAGCAGCAGAGGCTGGAGGCGGTGGAGCGGCTGGAGAGGGAGGCGCGGCGGCTCCGAGCCAAGGAGCAACGGAGCGCCGAGGAGGACGACAGGCTGCGGAGGCTGGACCTGGAGTGGAGGTTTCAGAAGAGGGTGCAGGAGATTCAGCAGAGAGGAGAGGAAGAGGAGGAGGAAGAGGAGGATCTGGACGTCATGGTGATCCTGCAGCAGCTGGACAGAACGTCGGAGGTTCAGTGGATTATGTAAAATCCACTCTACGTCGTCTTGTGACGCTACGCTTGATTCTTTCATGCTTGAGAAATGCTTTACTCTCCATGGCAGCCATCCTGCCATGCAAAACGTCCCAAGATGCAACGTGAACTTCTTGCAGTGGCTGACGTGGACCCAGGCGGCTCCATCAGCGACTTTTATGGCGGTGTGAGTGGTCCAAAGCACTTGAAACGGTCCCGTTGACCATTTCAGAGACGTGTGTAAGAATTTTACACCACCATTGTCACTGGATATTTTCCTGGGGACGCACCCTCTACAGATCATGTCTCTAAGCAGGTTTTTTTTTTTGCTACCGTCTGTGCAAAGACCTAACAATATTTTTGTCTTTTCCACCTGTGTGAGCTCAATGAAATCTATCATTAAATGTTGAAATGGAGCTGTGGTTTGATTCTGTGCTCCTCTGTGATGCATTTTTATTCCTTTTGAAACATTCTTTACAGAATGAAACCATTAGTTTATTGTTCAGTTGGTAAAATGTTTTTTTTGTTTTGTTTTCAGCCCTTGAGTTAATTTCACTTTATGATTTTGGACCACGCAACCAAAACTTTGGACTCCCCTGTTCTACCGGCTGAACATGGTGTCATTTCTCACATCTAGATCAAGATCGAATCCGTCGGAAACGTCACGAGGGAACCAAACGAGGAGGGAATCAGCGTTCCTACGAGCAAGAAGGAAAACCAGGTGAATATTAAAGGATCGTTCAAAAGGTGGTTTTATTTTAAATGATAAAAATAGCATTCTTTTATGTTTTCGGCAGATCACAGAGAAAATGGACTGAAAGCGGCGTCAGATGAGTGAGTTTAGGGTCCAGAGCATGTTCAGCATTCACAAACGCTAAGAAATAAAAAAAAAAATCATCCCTGAGTTGTAAATTCTCACACCTGATACATAAAACTTGCTTGTGAATGTGGAAACCACTCATTTCAAGTATTCGCGTGGTTTTGAGTCAGCAGGATGCAAAACCCTCTGAATAGAAGTAAATAATAATAATAATTTCTGGTTGCATAACATGCAGATTTCTGTGAATTTTAATAGGGTTTTACGTGACAAAAAGTGACTCAACAAAATCCGACTAAAACATATTCAAGTTGCTGGTTGAAAGGTGACAGAATTTGAAACAATGAGCGCTTTTCTAAGGTGCAGTACAACAAAGAAGGCAGGGTGTGTGTCTTTAAAGCCAGAAACGTTTGCCCCAGTAACGCCAACATCAGAATTAGTGATTCATTTCAATTTAATACAACTTTTGACACACACTCCCTCACTCTACATCTCATTTTCAAAACGCTGAGTGCGTCCAGTTCCAGTGCGGACATAATTTCGCGCTCGCCGTCACAGGAATGCTACTTTGTGCGCTGGTAGAACTGCACCACAGCTTTCTCTTGCTCCTGGGTTTCGATGGAGCCGGGCCGGATCCTGCGGATCTCTGCGATGGCGTCGGACCCGGACATGTCCCTGCTTTTCACCAGGTAGCAGGCCAGCATGGTGCCCGTCCTGCCGTGGCCGTGCATGCAGTGGACGGCCACGCCCTGGAGACAAAACGGCAAGACATCGTCAAACGACAGGCAGTGTTCACACCCTGCTTTAAGTTCCTGGAATTAGGTAATCCCAGGAACTAAAGCAGTTCCTGCTTTAGTTTTGCTTTAGTTCCTGGGATTACCTAATTCCAGGAATTAGGATTACCTAATTTCAGCGGTTGTTTTTACACAACAGCTGTAGCTGTTGCTGGTTTCTACCTGTAAACCTATATATATATATATATATATACACATATTGCATTGTATGTTGCTCCCCCTCCCACAACCATATGTTTGATGTTTTTACTCCTAGCACCGCCTTTAAATTGGCTGTATGGTTTTTATCTTTTTGTCATGGGAAAGCATGTGGCTTTCCCATTTTTTTTATGCCCGCTCTGTTACAAATCCTAACTTTTTTGCAGGGGATTAACTCAAAAATGTACAATATTTTCCAAGAACAAGCCACAAAGTGAAATATTTTTAATGCGAATGAATAGAATAATTATGTAAATTTCTATGCGTTAGCTACTCCTTTTTTGTTTTTGTTTTTTTGGAGCAATTGAAGTTAAAAGCACAAACTGGCACTCTTCATCATGACATGTTAAAGTGCAAGAAAGCAAATTTCTAGAAATTCTCTCTCTGTGTTTTAGAAAAACACAGAGAAATCATTTCTCAAGTCAAAAGTCAACTAACTGGACCCCAAACGCTGGATGTCCTGACCAAACCTCGATCAGCTCCGCTCTTCCAGAGTCGCGATCTGAGCGCCTACCTCTCCTTTGGCGTTGGCTCCTTCCACGATGGAGAGAAACTGATCGATCTGACTGGGAGAAGGAGGCGTGAAGTCCGCTATCTTGATGTGGTGAAGCTGGAGCTCTGGGCAGGTGTCGTGGTTCGGTGGCTTCCTCTCGCACAGACAGACGAGGTGTCTGACTCCGTTGTCCAGCAGGTAGCGGTATTCGCTCGGCATCCTGGGCATGGCCAACCCGGCCAGCTTCTTGGGTTCGACCCAGGAGAAGTTGTGTGGAGGGGACGAGGCCATGACCCGTCTGGGGAGAGAGAACTGTGCTTCTGTTTCCCTCTGGTGAAATTCAGCGACCTATTATATCAACACAGTGTTTCCTGGATGAGCGTGACCTCACACATTTACTGCTGTAAATGACAGTCCAGTAAATGGGCGTGTCCGAGTCATTGATCACAAGTGTGTGTCAGTGTGTTTTACTGGGAAAGCAATAAAACGCTGCAATATCCTAGTCCTTTCGTTCCTTACATGACAAAATGTGATAAAAACAGTTTTTAAGGCACCAAATATCGATGTTATAAACCGTGTTTAAAATATAAATACACGGGTGAGATCCAAACAGTCCTGTTATTTGCAGAAGTTTGTAGAAAGTAAACCACAGACAGTACAACCTGTGTTTTTAATGTTTTCTGAGAATGGATTTTCATTCAACAGTCAAACTGAATGTTAAAAAAAATGTTAATATGAGTGACGTGCTTATTACCACGGCCATCTATGAACAAGATACATCTGACCGTAAGACGCACAGAGCAGGAAATGAGACCAAAACACTGGAAACTAAATAGAAGCATGTAGCTTAGCATTAGCAACGCGACGAAGCTAAGTGCACAACTTAGCTTTATTGTCATGAACAGACTGCAGCAGCTGCTGCAGTCTGTCGGCGTACAAAGTACGTTCAGGTTTTGTTCGTACTGAGCGAATACGGCATGAAACAACACAATGACTTACAGGTTATGTGACAACAAAGCGGGTTGCTGTGCGCCGAGCTCCTGCTAGCTGAGCTAACTGTTGGTCCCCTGAGCAACACGGTCCTAAATAATAAAGTTTAACAACGTAATGCGGGTGTCTAACGCAATCCCTGTACGTTGTCTGTTTGCGGTTATAGGTGCAGCAGCAACAGCATTGATTTGATCACTGTGACAAACACTTAGCATAATAAAGTAGGGAGAGAAGTAACCATATCGGTTTTTATCGGACATTTCGCCGCACTGACAGCCATACAGCGATTCTTTATTATCATTATTATTATTTTTAATCACTACTAGGTCTTCTTATATCAATACATACCAACTGTATCAGCAGATATCTGTGTTTGTGATGTTTATAAGTCTCCACGGCTGGCTGGCATGTACATGTCAGGATGGCCGAGCGGTCTAAGGCGCTGCGTTCAGGTCGCAGTCTCCCCTGGAGGCGTGGGTTCGAATCCCACTTCTGACAAATACTTTTTGATTCGGTTGTATTGTTAAAATGGTTCCTCAAAACACGCTGCCCTGAATGTTTCGATGGTCGTTTTGCTTTAATACACCTCATAGCAATCCAACAAAAACCTGTGGAGCAGCTGTCATGTGAAACTACTTCTGGTGAAGTAGGAAGAGTATCTGAAACGTGCAGGACAGTGTGAAACATTTGTAAAGAGTAATTCTGAATATGCAAGGAAAGGTACTTTACATGTGACTTAAAAGAAGATCATGGAAAGTTTTATTTTGCTCTGAAAAATTATTTTAGAGCGAGAAACCCTTCTTTTCTAAAAGGAACAAGCCTCTTGTGGTGTCACATGTGTCATGAGGAAATTAATCTTGAGCTTGTCATCTGGATGCTTATTTCTCTCCCCCCCCATCTTTTTCCTATGCGTTAATCAAATCTTGCTGATGCATGCATCTGCACTGCAGATTGTCATTGCCATCACTCCAGTCAACACAAGAGGGGAGAAGAGAAGTAAAAAAAAAAAATTCCAGTCACTTGGTAATTAGAAAGGCAGATGTTCTAGCAAGTAATATAACTAAATGTAATACAGTTGGAGTGATGCATATTTTATAATATGCATTGTACAATTTTCAGATTTATGAGAAGGAAGAGTTTTTATCTACTTGCATGTGGCCAGACTTGTAGGAGTCTGCTAATCAAGTTGCATAACACAATTTAGTGTAACCCAATTACGGATTATTGTCCATAATCCATGAGGAGTGCAAGTTTTGTGTCTGGCAGATAATAAAATACAAGGAATCACTGGAAGGAAAAAAAAAGATAAAAGATAAACATGTTGGGTGAATCAAGGCAGCATACCTCACTGCACTAGCATAATCTCACATTTCCAACCTTTAATTTACAAAAGTACAATTTATATTTGATGTTTAAAAAAACACACACACAAGAAAAAAAAAACACACACATCCACATGCCAACAGATTTGGGAGGGATGCTAGAAAAAAAATGTACCGCGTGCTGCCCTACCATCACAAACGTAAGGATTTGCTGAGTACTACTGGGACCTGAACTGGAAATGTGTGCATTCATCAGGTGAGACTGATGGCTCACTTTGAAATCTGATGGCAGTGGCTTTAAAACTAAAACATGAATAATGAGGGGACGAAAAATGTACGTGAAGCATCATAATCTTGGGGAAGAAACACTTTTCATACACAAAATGGAGATCCACAAATATGTTGGAGGACCTGTGATGCTGCGGGCCTGTTTCTCTTCCAAATATCTCATCAATCTGATATCAGGTGAAATAAAAATAAATGTATTTATATCTATTCCAGTGGCACCAATACAATGTTTCTTGTTTATTATCAGCTGTTTTTCTGACAGTACCTCTTTAAATTTATCTCAGCCATTGCTCTATATCAAATGAAGTAGCTTGTTTTTGTGAGTAGCCAAAAAAAAAGCTTTTATCAATACTAATGAATACATCTACACTGATATTTTCTAAACAAGAAAAACGACTGATAGACATTTGTAATGACTATTTTTTTACGCATCATAAGAACATGTATTAGATTTCTAAATTCAAAGTATGTATTTAATTGGTCACATTACGGATATTATTGGGGAAATCAGATTCTTATTTTGGTTTGTCACCAGTTTTCTCTTACATAGCTGACAGGCTAAAGCTAACCTGCGCAATTAAAAGGAAAGGGAGAAGACAATGTGTCCTTTTCGTTTTCTAATTAATGATACAAACACAGACGAGTCGAGCCCACACCACAGCACAGTTTATCTGCTAGTCACTTTGTACAAACAGTAGAAAGAGGGATTGTGTCCGAAGGAGACAAACTGCGTCGTGTTTGTCTGATTCACAGACGACGGACTTTCAGGAAGGTGCACAGAGAGAAACGTCCCGCCATTAAAAAGAAGCTTTCACTAACCTGTTGTTGGCTTACAAAACAAAAAGAAGGAGCAAAAGATAAAGGCTTCATCAGTCACGTACTTACAGTTACAGAAAGATTATCTCGGTGAAATTGGTAAAAACGCAAACAACTTGAAAAAAAGACATAAAATAAGATATAAGACATTCCAATGATAATCGGGCAGAGTCAAGAGTTTTGGCTGCTTGTCCCTGTGGCGCTCCACCCGATGGTCCCCACAGGGCAACAAAACACATCCATGACTTTATCTGGTTTCGAAATTTAGACACAACAGAGCCCGACAACCCGGTCGGTTGATTGGTTGTCCGTCACGTCCCGGGGGGATTATCGCTCCCACCATCTTCCTTTTTCAGTCGCCTAAAAGTACAAATCCCTACGACATGCCGCACATCCTCCAAAGAAAAAAAAACAACAAAAAAACAACAAGAAAACATAACACCGCCTTCATTGGTTACATGTTTACTCTGTAGATTGGATCTCTTTAAATGCCAAGCGCTTAAGAGGGCAAAGAGAGCGCGATGCCCTCCTACTAGACGATTTCTACGGGTTCTGAACGTCGGCGTTCAAAGTCCCTCCGGCAGCAGGCGGCTGAGGGGCCATGCTGGCTTTACAGGATGGCGCAGAAGAACTTCTTCTCCCTGAACGGGTTCTCCGACGCTGGCACCGGTGACAGCAGGGGGTCCTCTTTGGCATGAGCTTCGCAGTAAGACATTAAGTCTGCCGCTGCTTTGGACACCTGGAATTAGACACACACACACCAAACTAAGTTTAAGTGGAAATTTATAATTAAAAGACAAAAGACTTTCAATCATCTGTCTGTGTAGATATATTGTGTTACACACACATTCACACATGCATATAGTTCACCTTTATCCTGTCAATGTTGGCCTCCATCTTCAGCTGCTCCACCAGCTTCCTGGCCTGTGCGATGCTGGCCGTGTTGTTGCTCGCCATGGGCGCTCCCGCTCAGTTCCTGTCTGCTCAGCCTGCGTGGAGGAGACAGCGGCTGAAACATCCCAGACATTTCACTGCACCGGCGCTGAGCAGCACTATGCCGGCACGCAAAGACGCAGCGCCAGGAGCAGATAGCCAGTTTCTTATCACGTGCCAGTAAAGACACACTTGCACATACAGATGGAGGCGTGTATTATTTATGGTGCCTGTTGCTAGGCAGTCCCTGACAGTGGGAGGAAAAATAAAAAAGAGAAGGACGGTGATATTTTGTCCAGCATTGTGTTCAAAGTAGTTAGATAGATGAGAAGTGCAAGTGGTTTTATAAAAAACTGCCAAGATTATAAACATTGACTCAACAAATACTGAGTGATCAGGATGGATGTTTGTGTAAAAAATCTGTTCTTGACCATATTTTGTGTATTCTATTTTACTTTGTCGGAATTATTAAAATAATGATTCATCTTTGTTTCTGTAAATTATCATGTATTTTTGATTTTGGTTCAACAACATGGACTTCAGTCGCAACTCCACTATTTGCTGTCGCCTCTGTTTAGAAAACAAAATCAGTGTCTGCAGCTGATGCTTATGCAAATGCTGCAATACGCATTCTCTGCCAGTAGGTGGCAATGATATCAACATTACCGGCATCAAAGTTTAACAGAAGAAGATTCCCAGTTGAAACACGAACCTTATTCTCTCAACTAAAACATTCTCCAGCTTATTGGAAACAGACCCACTTTGAAAAGTGTTTGTCACAAAAAAATAGATATTTGCTTGTGGCCTGGAGGTGTTAAAAATAGCTGGAAGTCTCAGTGTTTGCAAAATACCTGCTCCTTAACAATGCACATATAGAGTAGTTTTTTAGAGGTGACAATAGAGGTGTAATTCAAATCTAATGACATAAGATCTTGTAGTGCTAAACAACCACAATAATACAATAATAAAAAACAATAATTCTCACGTCGTCAGCATCTGACTGGTGACTATCGGCTATTGCCCAAGATACAAAAGTGTGTATCTTTTGTATCGAAATAGATACGCGATTGTATTCATACTTCAGACTCATATTTTGGAGTACGAGAGGAAGTTGTTCTTAAATGATGGACAAGACCAAAACATCATAACGTGAAAGCCCTGGCAATGTGAATGCTGCCAACACTTTGCCAATGTTTGCTAACCGGCAAACTGTTAGCTGCTGAAGACCCTGAAGTTAGCATCTGCTTCTTTTTGTGAAAGCATCTTGTTTTTGTAATCTGAATGTGTTACACCCCAACAATCTACTAGAAAATGTTCCATAAAGTGGACACTGTTATGTTTACAACTGTGCCTTTTATCATTGTCAGTGACCACATTCATTCCTGTTTCCTCACACAGTTTAATTTGTTCAGAACTGCTTTCCATCAAGTGTTGTCTACAAAGTGTGCGGTGCTAATGTACGCCCCCGGGTTCGATTTTACAGATCAGGGTCTCAAAAACAGCATCCTCCTCCTTCGTGGTGTTAGATCAATCATCCCTGCGTCGCTCTCCGTCACCAGCGTGTGTGTGCACTGTGGTGTGACTCAGTGTGAGGTCAGTGCTGACCTCAGCAGGGAGCAATCTATGAATATTAATGCTCCACGGTAGCAAACATGCTCCTCTGGCTAAAAACCATCGAAAACCATCGAACCATCGAAAACCATTAAAAACCATCGCTGTGGACCAGTTACCAACAACAAGGCAATAAAAAGTTATCTTTTTTAAAAAAAAAAGAACACAAATTTTTCCGTCAATTCAGTTTCACTAATCACACCTCGGAATGATGTTCTGGACTTTTCTCCTATAACAGAGAATTAGACAGTGCTTCCCCTCCTCCACCTGTTGCTGGATACCTGACTGAAAGTGGGCTTTTCCTCGATAAATATTCTGACTGTCTGGGAGAAAATGTACTTGGAAATAGTTGGACATGAAATAGCAATTAAAAGAGTGACAGCCGTTACTTTTACTCTGTCAGTCTCTTATGGCACTGTTTGAAAAGCCGCCTACCAGAGAAACAGTCCATCTAATAATTAAACAGTTGACTTCTGCGATTCAATAACGTGTGGAATTACAAAAATGTTTCCTCCCCACTATTAGCACACGCTGAGGTAAAGTTAATGATCAAATTGACCACAGTGTGGTCTAAGACATATACCATTCGCTTTCCAATAGCTAAATATTGGTGTCATTTATCTTTTCTCTCTTTGTTGGTTTTGGAAGACGTCACTGAATACGCCACAATTATTAAAGTCATTCAAAGTAGTTTTCTGTGCAGAACGCTCAGACTTAATCCCACAGTCGAAGCCTTGGCCATATTTTGTTTAATTCTGGCCTGTTTGAAGCATTTCCAGCTGGAAACATCTCTGAAAGTCGTCAGTGCAAACCCAGCGACAGCTTGAAGAGGATTCCTACAAGGAACCCGCAGCAGACCGAACATCGCGTAACCTAAACAGTCGCTGCAGCCGAACCGTCCTGGCTGCTGTTAGTCTGACGAGGACAGCTCCTTGTACGGGCATGGGCTGTCAAACAGGAAATGGAAAGATTTATCAGGGTCGTTTAAAATGGGGTGCAAAGATCAGAAATCAGACCTTGACTTTCACACAGCAAGGTCGTGATATTATTTTATCACTCAGGGGACGTCGAAACGGGCCACTGCATCTTCAGACTATTGATAGGAATTTATGTCACACTTTAAGGTTTCTGGGATGCCTGTTGAGAAATAGGTCTTCCATTTTTACACAAAACACTGTTACAATAGCCCATTTTATGAAGATCTGTTCATGCCTTCTTTTTTTTTTTCTTTTTCTTTTTTTAGCTGAAGTAGATGGTCATAAACTGATAAACTAACAGCTAGGGACTCTGGGTAAAGTTTTAACACGTGCTTCATGTCGAGCATCTCTGATTTCTTCCCTGAGAGAATCTAAAAGTCCCACTTTTAATATCAAGATATCAAAATGTCTTGTTTTTATTACTGAAATTACAAAGAAGGTTTTTAATCAGCTCACATTCTTGTAATTCTATGGTTTCTTTCCAATAGCACACTTTTAGATTTAGTGCTAAAACCTGGTTTTACCATGTTCCTTCAGTCCATGTCACGAGCTGCAGTTCGATTACAAACGTTCAATGTCAATATCCTGCTAAAGTTGAAACTTTTTTTTTTTGCAATTGTGATGTTTCCACTAAATAAGAAACACGATTAAAATCCCACGTGAATAAGTTTGTTTATGCCAAAAGTCCTTAAAAATCTGATCTTTGTACTCCATTTTAAACAACCCTGATTAATTCTGGCCTGTTTGAAGCATTTCCAGCTGGAAACATCTCTGAAAGTAGTCAGCACACTTTTAGATTTAAAAGTGATTTAAAAGATCTTTTAGATTTAAAAGATTTAAAAGACAGGAAGTGGTAATAACCACTTCCTGTCATCCTCTTCGTCTTTTCCATCAGTAATGACATCCAGAGGCTGATCACGTGACTCGTGTGATGTGAAAAAAGTGTTTCCATCACAGTTTTGCCAAAAAATGCTCATTTTGTTGCAGCTGGAAAAACCAACGTATACTAGCGTGCAAGTTTTTTGAAATTAGATTTTTTTAAATTGTCTCATTTCTGGAGAGCAAATGTATTATTTGATTCCAATTTGCGCAACCATAAGGTCAATGGAAATGCAGCGACAGCCTCCACGTTATGCTGTTCCTCAAGAAAACAGGCTGGAATATTGAATTGTGTAAGACGCGATCTGGCAGCCAAGTGTTAGGTATTCGTCTTGAGGCTGACACTTGCAGCTATTGTACAAACTCGCTCACTACAATACCTACCTCGACAATTTGAGAACAAAAGGTAGCGGTGCTGAACTGAGAGTCACCCTGCTGCTTAACGTCAGTGGACTTCCTCCCTGACACTTTCATATCGACGGCCGAAGAAATGGTGACGTTAAGCAGATCCTATGTCTGGAAAGGCCGGCGTCCTAAAGGAGCTAAACTCCATGAAGTATGACTTGTAGCTTGGAAAGTGTTTCAGCTTCCAGCATTAATGTGGAAAGTGATTCCCCTCCTCTCCATCTGCTGCAGGGAAATGTTTCATGTGTTCTCACCAAACTGATTTCTGCAGGAATTTGGCTGGGCCACAAAGTCTGACCTCCTCGCAAATGCAAGACAAAAACAATCAGCTTCATGCCGTGTTTTATTGCTTTGTCTTACCTTGTCTGCTTGCTCCTCCTTACGCCTCCTGCCCTGCTGTCTGCCACCCGCTCGGTCAGAGGCTTGTGTCTGCCACGCTCTCCGTCTGCGGGGAGGAAAATGGAAACAGAGGAAAAGAGAGGCTGAATCAGAGCGCTGCACAAATTTGCTCTCGCATTCCAGATACATTCCTCTAAACCTTTTATTACGTCACCTATGAGAAATAGTCACAACAACAAAAATCTATTTTCTCTTCTAGAGAGAATAAAGAATCAATTTTTTCCCCCACTTGTAAAAGAGAAATTCAGCTTTAAGTATAAGATGTAGATTTCGGAGCTGTGTTTCAAAGAATCAGTGTAGAATAATCCAGCTGGATTCTTAAAATATTTAAGACTATTCAGATACAGACCTTTAATTTGACTCTGACTCTCCACAATCAGCTTCAAGAATATTTCATGGTGTTCACAAAGTGTGAAATCCATAATGATTCTCTAAATATGCAAAAAAGCAGCAGAAGGCTTGTTCTTGGCCCAAGTGAATCTTATTTTCGCCTCATGGCGCCCCCTCGGTCATGTCACCCACAGTAGAAAGCCACAAGAGAGAGAAGAAGTAAAGCACAAGGCCAACATTACTTTTTAAATGTATGTTCCAGGGACATGATGCCATTTTATAGTACAATCACATAACTATGTCACCTTCAGTAATATTTCAAAAACTTGACTTTGAATCATAGCCGTATCTGATGCCTTGAAATTAGCCACTGTCTCTTTAAGAAGCTCCGCTTTCTGACACTTTCTCCTCATGCATGTGACAATACTCCTCCATAATGCCGTTTGTAACCGTTCTTAAGAGCGTCGGACTGAGAAGGAGTTTGTATGATGAACTCAGCAGACGTGCAGTTCCGTTTGCTCATCGCTGCTGCCGCTAGTCTGTAGGACTTGGCAGCTGGACGCAAAGCTTTCGCTAAAAAGGCGGCGCTTTGTGAGAGAAAGTTTTTAACCACCTCTGAATGGTTTCCACAGGAGAGGAAAGGATTTCTCACACAAATGTGAACAAATCAAGGCAACACTCCAGGTAACTTGTACTGTAGTTTCAATGTTACCACATTACAGCGTGATGTAAAGCTAAAAAAACTTATTACCCTGCCTTTAAAATGGAAATATTTGAAATCTGAAGATAATGATAGCAATAAATACAAAGCAAGTGCATATTTAGACTAAGCTTTTGTAAGGCTATATGGATTTCTTTTTGCTTCCTGTTCACACTAAATAGGTGCAAAGCAAAGAAAAGAAGCTGACGTCTGTTTTGGTAACTTAAGCCTACCGGGAGTCAACTTTCAGTAAAAGCGCAACGACATTTCCCAAAATGTCAAACTGTCCCTTTAGGTTTCTCTTCCCTCCGCGCTGACACACACGTCCAGCTTCTCTCCTCGCAGATTCATTCGTAAAGCATGTGTGACTCTGTGTCTCGGTCCTCGGCTGCCTCTGATAAATGGACCAATTACCGCGCATCAGTAGCTCCACCAAGGAAGGGAATCCCAACCGTTATAAATCAGGGCAGGATGCAACATTAAGGCGTCATTACAGAGAGGGATCCATTAACAAAACCTCAGCAGCAAAACCGGACCAGCCCCCAAGCCAAAAATATTCACGCAATGCTAGAGCTGCTGAGGGAGTAACACAGGCATAAAAGACTTTTAGATATTAGAGGAGCACTTTTGATCGAGACAATATTCTGAATGGCTTCTTTCTGGTGTAAATACGATTTTATTGTTCACAGACTGGGAATATATTACCCAATGTTTGCTTTGGCTCTTCATCAATTTAAGTTGATATTTGCCCAATTTGAAAGCTTTCCTAAGAAATTATGCAAATCATGTCATCTAGAAGAAACAGAGTGAAGGGAGTACCTTTCCCTTTGACCTCTGAACCTTAAGGATACATGGAAACAGTTTCTATTGGTCTGATACTAAGTAATACTTTGATATTTTAGTGCTTTTATAAATTCAAACAACATTCATTGATTTGAAAATGACAAAGATATATTTTAGTGAATTGGGCACCAAAACTGTCTCCAGCCCAGAGGCCTAAATCCTTGTGAATCCAGCCCTGCTTAGCACACGCAAAGAAAACATTCTTAGATGCACAAGCGTTCGAGCCAAGACAAGAAACGAGCGGCGTTGCTCAAAAAAATAACGCAAACCTTGAAGTCGCTCAAGATGGGAACTTGCCGTCATCACCCCAATGCATTTATTTCCCTCCTGAATACATTTGTTCAATTACTTATTGCAGCACAAGGTGCTTTTATTGTTCCTAAAAACTCTACCAGTCATTCTGAGGTCTGCGGAAACACACTTATCCCTATTATTATTGACTTTTACCTTCGCTCCTGGGAGATGAATTCACAGTGACGGTCACGTGATCACAACTGGTTCAAGTTGTATTTGTTCAGGTCTTGTGCAAATGTACAAACACAGAGAGCATGGCACTCATCAGATCATAATCATGTTTGCTCTCTTGTCTGTACTTTGGTGTGGTAACCAGGCGAAAACGTTGGAACATTCAAGCAGATGTGCGTCGATGTTTCCTGGCGTACAGAACCACAACGCTCCAATCGCTTATTCGTTTGTTTTGCATTACAAAACTTTTAAAAATATAAATATTCCTAGATGCAAAAACAAGCAAACTAGAATGTGGTTCATCTTTTAAGTGTCTGTGTGTTTTAAAAGAAAGACTAAGCTGAGTGAGTCTGTCTCTTGAAACAGACTGAGAGAACTGGAAGCGGTCGTCGTTCCTTGGACACAAAGGCAATAAGTCTAAACAAGGAAGCTAAAATACTTGTTTTTATTTTTAAAAGGTCTTTCCAAATCATTGTAGTCTTCACATTGTGCAAAAGAAAACGAAAGAAAGAGGTGTTGCCGACTGATGATGCTCTGATATACATTTTAGATCAGTTCATTGCTGCAAAAGCAAAAAAATAAATAAATAAATAAAAAACAGAACACCCCCCCCCCCCCAAATGGCCAAGATGGCAAATTACTCCTTGAAAAAAAAGAGGAAGATGTTGAGGTTAGTTTCTGAATAAAGTTTCGCATCGTCGCAATTATCAGGGTTACGGGATGAGAAGCGAAGACAACAGGGACGTGTAAGCGTGTTTCTTGAATTAATTTTCTTCGACTTGGCGGTTTTCGTTCCCTCCTTTAACGCTGGCGAAGCGTCTCGAGCCGAGCTGCACGGAGAGGAAAATCCATTTCCCTCCCGTGTTCCAGCCTTCTGCTTCCCATCCCTCCCTCTGGGGCTGACAGGTGTTTATTGAAGGAGCAGAACCCGTCCGTCCGGCCCTCCCACCCGGGCCCCAGGATTCTCTGCCCTGCTGTTAAGACCACTGAATCAATGTGACCCCCTCCGTCATCCTTCCCTTGCCATTTGGAGAGCTGTTTTGAACCTCCTCCCCTGAGATCTCAGGGGGTCTGTGTTCATCTCGAGGCCCTCTGCTGATGTGATTATAGCTCAGGGTGTTGCTGACTTAAAGGGTGATTAAGCACGGCTGGAAATATCCTGGCGGAGCTATAATTCCTGACCTGTGGAGAGAGTGACAATCTTTGGCTTTCTGCTACGCACGCCGCCTCCCTCTCTTTTTATTTATACCTCCCTCTTCTCTGTCTTTACGCTGTGCGAAAGGTACGGCAGCCAGGCAGGGGGTGTTCTGTCCTCCGCCGTGCCCGGGGTGTGAAATCGGAGCGTGGTAATTAAAAATGTGTCTCTCGCTAAGCCATCTGGACCCTGGAGAACAAGTGATTAACCTGCAAAAGGCCTGCAGGGATGGCAAAGAGGAAGGAAGCAACTGCTCCGCAGAGTTATCTTTAGGCTCCTTTAAAGCCTTGTGAACACTAAACCTGCTGTCCCTGGAAATCTTTCACACTTTTTTTCATTTGTCTATGGCTACAACGATGGCAGATTTGATTCAGCAACAGTCAATACCTGCTTTCAGAGCAGCAACCAGCAGAAAAGCGGATCTGCTTTGCTTCCTCCTGACATACAGTATTGCCTCTAAGCTGTGATGCAAGGGCTGGTTTTAACGCTGCTGTATCTGTCAGAATGAGGACAACTCATTTGTTATATTTGGATATGTGAAAATAAATTCACCCAAAACCAAAATCCAGACATCCATGTCAAACACATCCCTTAGTTTTGTGCCTCTTAAACTTTTTCCACATTTTGTCGCCCATCGGACTTTATGTCATAAACCAACACAAAGTGGAGCAGAACCGTCAACTAGAACAACTTCTAAAACATTTGAAAATGCAGACGAGATGCATCTACCAACTTTGTACATCTAGAAAATTATTTGCAGAACTTCATTTCAATCAGACTGGATAATGAGTCGAGTCCGATTCACTCGTAATCCTCAAATTTCTGGACCTTGACTGGACGAAAGCACATTCAAAGGTGTGCAAATTGCAGCAGCTAAACTGATTTTATGTGTGGTCGGCCAACTGCAGCTTCATTTTTAAGGAGGGAAGAGGTGTTATTGAAAAATTGAGATCGACTCGCGAATGAAAATGTTAAGTACAACACAATGTATTCATCTTTTGGTAAAAGTGACTAAGATGCAAACAACAAGTACAGACAGGAGCAAATGGGCAGGAAACATCAAAACCCAACACGAGAGAAACCAACGTTGGTACAGATAGATGCTGGCCTCCCCAACTCCTCCACTGTGAAGAATGAATCAGTCAATGAGTTCACACACCGCTGACTGAGTTCCTTCTGCTCACATGTTGCTGTGGTGAACAATAATGAGGCCCGATTATCTTATAAAAATACCACAGCTTCCAACTTCTGGTTCAGCTGAAGAATGCTGAGTCAGGGTGTGTAGCAGACATAATTTGATCTCTGGGTAAACCAGGCTGCCGTAGTTTTTTGTTTTTTTTGGTTATTTGGAAGAAATTTCCATTTCATGAGCATCGCAACTAGAGGTTTCTTCTAACCTGAAAATGGGCCTGAAAAATTTCTAGAAATTCTACAGATGGTTTTACAAACAAAACAAAACAAATTTAATTAAATGCACCACTATTTTGAAGTGTTATTCATTCTGTAATTTAAG